CGAAGCAGAAACCAACTCTGCCTTATTAACGAGAGTAGAGGTGAACTACAAGTGGGGTCTTCAGAGAGAGGGCTTCCCGTGAGCGTGAGTGAACGGTTTTTCAATCCAGACGCATCCACGCTAGAAACTTCGTGTGATGTTAGTCGCCATATTGTATTGATCATGAAAACATTCTGAAATTGATCTGAAGCCATATTTTTTGGATTATCGAAGCAGAAACCAACTCTGCCTTATTAACGAGAGTAGAGATGAACTACAAGTGGGGTCTTCAGAGAGGGGGCTTCCCGTGAGCGTGAGTGAACGGTTTTTCAATCTAGACGCATCCACGCTAGAAACTTCGTTTGATGTTAGTCGCCATATTGTATTGCTCATGAAAACATTCTGAAATTGATCTGAAGCCATATTTTTTGGATTATCGAAGCAGGAACTCTGCCTTATTAACGAGTAGAGAGGAACTACAAGTGGGGTCTTCAGAGAGAGGGCTTCCCGTGAGAGTGAGTGAACGGGTTTTCAATCCAGACGCATCCACGCTAGAAACTTCGTTTGATGCAAGTTTGATGTTAGTCGCCATATTGTATTGCTCATGAAAACATTCTGAAATTGATCTGAAGCCATATTTTTTGGATTATCGAAGCAGAAACCAACTCTGCCTTATAACGAGAGTAGAGATGAACTACAAGTGGGGTCTTCAGAGAGAGGGCTTCCCGTGAGCGTGAGTGAACGGTTTTTCAATCTTGACGCATCCACGCTAGAAACTTCGTTTGATGTTAGTCGCCATATTGTATTGCTCGTGAAAACATTCTTTTTTGGATTATCGAAGCAGGAACTCTGCCTTATTAACGAGTAGAGAGGAACTACAAGTGGGGTCTTCAGAGAGAGGGCTTCCCGTGAGCTTGAGTGAACGGTTTTTCAATGCAGACGCATCCACGCTAGAAACTTCGTTTGATGTTAGTCGCCATATTGTATTGCTCATGAAAACATTCTGAAATTGATCTGAAGCCATATTTTTTGGATTATCGAAGCAGGAACTCTGCCTTATTAACGAGTAGAGAGGAACTACAAGTGGGGTCTTCAGAGAGAGGGCTTCCCGTGAGCGTGAGTGAACGGTTTTTCAATCCAGACGCATCCACGCTAGAAACTTTGTTTGATGCAAGTTTGATGTTAGTCGCCATATTGTATTGCTCATGAAACCATTCTGAAATTGATCTGAAGCCATATTTTTTTGGATTATCGAAGCAGGAACCAACTCTGCCTTATTAACGAGAGTAGAGATGAACTACAAGTGGGGTCTTCAGAGAGAGGGCTTCCCGTGAGCGTGAGTGAACGGTTTTTCAATCCAGACGCATCCACGCTAGAAACTTCGTTTGATGTTAGTCGCCATATTGTATTGCTGATGAAAGCATTCTGAAATTGATCTGAAGCCATATTTTTTGGATTATCGAAGCAGAAACCAACTCTGCCTTATTAACGAGAGTAGTGATGAACTACAAGTGGGGTCTTCAGAGAGAGGGCTTCCCGTGAGCGTGAGTGAACGGTTTTTCAATCCAGACGCATCCACGCTAGAAACTTCGTGTGATGTTAGTCGCCATATTGTATTGCTCATGAAAACATTCTGAAATTGATCTGAAGCCATATTTTTTGGATTATCGAAGCAGAAACCAACTCTGCCTTATTAACGAGAGTAGAGATGAACTACAAGTGGGGTCTTCAGAGAGAGGGCTTCCCGTGAGCGTGAGTGAACGGTTTTTCAATCTAGACGCATCCACGCTAGAAACTTCGTTTGATGTTAGTCGCCATATTGTATTGCTCATGAAAACATTCTGAAATTGATCTGAAGCCATATTTTTTGGATTATCGAAGCAGGAACTCTGCCTTATTAACGAGTAGAGAGGAACTACAAGTGGGGTCTTCAGAGAGAGGGCTTCCCGTGAGAGTGAGTGAACGGGTTTTCAATCCAGACGCATCCACGCTAGAAACTTCGTTTGATGCAAGTTTGATGTTAGTCGCCATAATGTATTGCTCATGAAACCATTCTGAAATTGATCTGAAGCCATATTTTTTTGGATTATCGAAGCAGGAACCAACTCTGCCTTATTAACGAGAGTAGAGATGAACTACAAGCGGGGTCTTCAGAGAGAGGACTTCCCGTGAGCATGTGTGAACGGTTTTTCAATCTACACGCATCCACGCTAGAAACTTCGTGTGATGTTAGTCGCCATATTGTATTGCTCATGAAAACATTCTGAAATTGATCTGAAGCCATATTTTTTTGGATTATCGAAGCAGGAACCAACTCTGCCTTATTAACGAGAGTAGAGATGAACTACAAGTGGGGTCTTCAGAGAGAGGGCTTCCCGTGAGCGTGAGTGAACGGTTTTTCAATCCAGACGCATCCACGCTAGAAACTTCGTTTGATGTTAGTCGCCATATTGTATTGCTCATGAAAGCATTCTGAAATTGATCTGAAGCCATATTTTTTGGATTATCGAAGCAGAAACCAACTCTGCCTTATTAACGAGAGTAGAGATGAACTACAAGTGGGGTCTTCAGAGAGAGGGCTTCCCGTGAGCGTGAGTGAACGGTTTTTCAATCCAGACGCATCCACGCTAGAAACTTCGTGTCATGTTAGTCGCCATATTGTATTGCTCATGAAAACATTCTGGCTGTGTTCCAAATCTTACTCAAATGGATCCGAGTTACTCCATCGGGTCGTGTCACGTCACAACACAGATAGAAAAGCGCTGGACGCGGGTAGGTTTTGGGACGCCAAGGTAGAAAACCTTTACCCTGGAGTAAGATCGAGTAAATTTTGGAACACGGCCTCTGAAATTGATCTGAAGCCATATTTTTTTGGATTATCGAAGCAGGAACCAACTCTGCCTTATTAACGAGAGTAGAGATGAACTACAAGTGGGGTCTTCAGAGAGGGGGCTTCCCGTGAGCGTGAGTGAACGGTTTTTCAATCCAGATGTATCCACGCTAGAAACTTCGTTTGATGTTAGTCGCCATATTGTTTTGCTCATGAAAACATTCTGAAATTGATCTGAAGCCATATTTTTTGGATTATCGAAGCAGAAACCAACTCTGCCTTATTAACGAGAGTAGAGATGAACTACAAGTGGGGTCTTCAGAGAGAGGGCTTCCCGTGAGCGTGAGTGAACGGTTTTTCAATCTAGACGCATCCACGCTAGAAACTTCGTTTGATGTTAGTCGCCATATTGTATTGCTCATGAAAACATTCTGAAATTGATCTGAAGCCATATTTTTTGGATTATCGAAGCAGGAACTCTGCCTTATTAACGAGTAGAGAGGAACTACAAGTGGGGTCTTCAGAGAGAGGGCTTCCCGTGAGCGTGAGTGAACGGTTTTTCAATCTATACGCATCCACGCTAGAAACTTCGTTTGATGTTAGTCGCCATATTGTATTGCTCATGAAAACATTCTGAAATTGATCTGAAGCCATATTTTTTGGATTATCGAAGCAGAAACCAACTCTGCCTTATTAACGAGAGTAGAGATGAACTACAAGTGGGGTCTTCAGAGAGAGGGCTTCCCGTCAGCGTGAGTGAACGGTTTTTCAATCCAGACGCATCCACGCTAGAAACTTCGTGTCATGTTAGTCGCCATATTGTATTGCTCATGAAAACATTCTGAAATTGATCTGAAGCCATATTTTTTTGGATTATCGAAGCAGGAACCAACTCTGCCTTATTAACGAGAGTAGAGATGAACTACAAGTGGGGTCTTCAGAGAGGGGGCTTCCCGTGAGCGTGAGTGAACGGTTTTTCAATCCAGATGTATCCACGCTAGAAACTTCGTTTGATGTTAGTCGCCATATTGTTTTGCTCATGAAAACATTCTGAAATTGATCTGAAGCCATATTTTTTGGATTATCGAAGCAGGAACTCTGCCTTATTAACGAGTAGAGAGGAACTACAAGTGGGGTCTTCAGAGAGAGGGCTTCCCGTGAGAGTGAGTGAACGGGTTTTCAATCCAGACGCATCCACGCTAGAAACTTCGTTTGATGCAAGTTTGATGTTAGTCGCCATAATGTATTGCTCATGAAACCATTCTGAAATTGATCTGAAGCCATATTTTTTTGGATTATCGAAGCAGGAACCAACTCTGCCTTATTAACGAGAGTAGAGATGAACTACAAGCGGGGTCTTCAGAGAGAGGACTTCCCGTGAGCATGTGTGAACGGTTTTTCAATCTACACGTATCCACGCTAGAAACTTCGTGTGATGTTGGTCGCCTTATTGTATTGCTCATGAAAACATTCTGAAATTGATCTGAAGCCATATTTTTTTGGATTATCGAAGCAGGAACCAACTCTGCCTTATTAACGAGAGTAGAGATGAACTACAAGTGGGGTCTTCAGAGAGAGGGCTTCCCGTGAGCGTGAGTGAACGGTTTTTCAATCCAGACGCATCCACGCTAGAAACTTCGTGTGATGTTAGTCGCCATATTGTATTGCTCATGAAAACATTCTGAAATTGATCTGAAGCCATATTTTTTGGATTATCGAAGCAGAAACCAACTCTGCCTTATTAACGAGAGTAGAGATGAACTACAAGTGGGGTCTTCAGAGAGAGGGCTTCCCGTGAGCGTGAGTGAACCAACGAGCTTGAGTATTACCTTAGAGCGGTAAACCGGAACCCACTGCCTGCAGCGGAAATGGCACCCCCCCGATTGCCGCCATCTTGCCTGTTTGCCACATTAGTGATCACGTGACTTAAAGATGGCTGCGCCCAGAGGTGGGTCAGATCAGATTGGCCAGATCACGGTCAGCAGATGGGCTCTCTGGGGATGTGTTCCAATCTTACTCAAATAGACCCGAGTTATTCCGGCGAATCAAGTCACGTGACAAGACAGGTTGACGCGGGTAGGTTTTTGAACGCAACGGGTACAAGACCTTTTCCCAAGAGTGAGATAGAGTAAATTTTGGAACACGGCGACACGGCCGCCTGAATGGGAGCCACTGTAGTAGCCGAGCCGAGCGCGAGTGTGTGCGTGTGCGAGCTGGTCGGGGGCGGCTGGTGCGGCGACGGCGGCAACGGCGGTGCGAGTCGCATTGAACCGCGATGATCGTGCTGTGGGAGATTGGAAAATCTCCATGCGTGCTATGTTTGGCTAGGCAGACGATGAACAAATAGAGCCGGGTATGAACGTATGGCACAAGATCTAACCAGGTATGGGCACCGATCCGAATCGGTCGTAGTACATGTCAAACATCGCGTGGATATCTCGCATGAAAGTTTTGCATTCTCTCTGCACTCGACCTGCGGAATGTTCATTGCTCTTAAGGATAGGTACGCAGGGCATATGGAGTGTCTGCGATTGGAAGCCGAGAATGAATGCGTGAGAGGTTTTGGTGCTTTCGCGTGACTAAGGCTCGAGGATACGGTTGATCACGTCAGACGTTCCCGGCCGATTTTCTTTTACGTCCGACCCATATTAGGTTGCTATAGGTTGCCGTGCCCGTGGGGAACGGCACTGCTACCGTAAGTTCGCGCTGTGATTTGTAAGCATGGTCCTCGGAGTCCTGAGCCCTCGGCGCACACCAGGCGCCGTCTTCATATATAAGATCTCTACCGCGCATACGTCCGACGTACCTTTGAAAAAATCGGCCGAGTATGTCCAACGTATGTAAGGAATGCCTTCCGGGTACGTCCAAACTACCTTTAGACACAGCGTTAATTCTCTGCTTGCAAGGCGCCGGTAGTCGTCTGTAGGTGTCAACACGGCTGAGAATAGTTGATGGAAACCAATGTCGTTGGTCAAAGTTCTCAAGACAGTGCTTACTCGCTCGCGTCGAAGCTTGTGAACGGTTACACCTGAAACCACTTTATGTCTCTTTTTTTCGGATACAGCTTTTTCCGGGATACCAGCAAGCGCTACAGCTGTTGCGCCGTCTTGTTACAGAAGGACTGGGCATCCGCAGACACAAGTGCAGTCCTTCAACCACTGCTGGTGTCAAGTGCAGGAAAATAACAAGGGGCTCACAGATTTTTTACAGAGCAGCCGAGACAGCATAATGCTGGATTGTAACTCTGTTGTTACAGTGTCTTTCACCAAGCACAGCTGTTCCGGGGACGGCCACGTGCTGTCTTTTTGCCTGTTTGCTACGGTCGACACGGTGGAGGCAGGTCGTGACATTGCACGGACGGCTGGACACCGAAGCGACGCAGGCTGACCATCAACCTTCTCAAGGGTGACCCATCTTCAGCCTCCTGAGTACGCTGAAGGCATCATACTCACCTAGGTCTGGTGCCATTGCAGCAAAGCACTTCTGCGCTTCACGAGGCATGCTTGCTTCTCTTTTTATGACTTTCTCTCGGGGCTCTGTCAGCATCTTCTTTGACTCTTGCTTTTGTTCGAGCGGTCATTTGGATCGTGAGAGAAAATAGTCTGCAGGGACTGCTGTCCCTGTCCAATATAGTGCCTTTAGCTTTCAGTGACGTCTTTCAGAAGCGACTACTAACAAAAGTCTCCGCACTTTCTCTACACTGGCATGGATCGAAAGCATCCTTACACATATGTCACTCCAGAGGCACTCCTGTAGCTTCTGGCATACCAGAAAGACATCTAGTTGAACCATTGCTCCCTTTTGTGATTTTTTTTTTAAAAACTTGCCCTATCCTTGTCTTTTAGTGTTTTTCTTTTCTTCTTATGTCTGTGTCATTTACAGAGTCATATCAACCACACAAAACTTAATGTAACTTTGAAAGTTATGTAGACCTAAGTAATGGTTAGTTACACATCAAAATATCTGCCGACATTTGTTCACTGCTTACTCCATTAGCATGCTGCCTGCGATGCGTCTCCGACTGGTGTGTTTACCGATTCTGAAAAAGTGGTCCCTCAATTTCCTCTCGGTGACGTCATACAAGCGTCATGCTGTTGCCGGCCGCAATCCTGGCAGTGTCACAGCAGCGCGGGTGAACGTGACGGACGCCTGTTTTGCTGCAGGTCGCTCTTCAGTGTTGCAGTCCACGGAAGTTTTGGCAGCTAGAAGTTGGGACGCCCTGACGACAGCGACACTCGTGTTCGGTTGTTCTACTCGCAGCCTTTTCGTTAGCATTTCTACGACCAACCGCCAGAATCACGACATGCAACAGCATGACACTTTGGCTTCTGTGACGTCATGTGTTGCCACTTTGGGACCACTTTTGATGTATGGGCAGCATAGGACGCTAAACACACCGGTTGGAAACACGCTACGGACACCATACTATATATAACCTTGACATGGAATCTGTCTTGCACTGTGAATGTCTTGTACATTTCTCTCGCTACCTTCTCTGGAATGCCGTTTTCTGATTCAAAGCGCATCCTTGATTTCTTATGCTGTAACCTCCGTCTGGTTTTTTCATCTGTCAACTGCCTTGCTTATGTTGAAATAGTGCGACCAAAACTAGAATATGCGTCCTCGGCGTGGGAGCCACATGTTAAATGTCTCTCATCCAATTTCAGGGGTGGATGCAGGAATTTCCTGAGGAGGGGGGGGGGGGGGGGGGTCAGGTGTTGGTCAGCGTACCATATCTTTAGGAACCCCCTCCCCTTCTCCCTCGTTTCACGCCCTAAATTTTACGCATGCAGAAATCAAGAGGGGGGGGGGGGGGGGTCAGGATATCCGGACCCCCCCTCTAAATCCGCCCCTGCCCAATCCGGATTTGGTTCAGAATCGGGCTAGTACTCGCTTTATTCTACATTTTAGGTTTGGTAGCATCACTAAACTTAAATGCAACTTAAATGCAGTTTTTTTTTCAAACTCCCCTGTGTTCATATAGGCATATTAGTAAACTTTGTCTCCATCATAGGTTTTAATTCCTGCATGATTTATTCATCTTGCCACCGCATCGGATATTCCCTCGCATTGATCACTGTTCCTCTCAACAGGCCTGTCGACTTTAATGGCCTGTCTGAAGCCACTGTTTCCCTCCAAGACATTGACTCCTTTCGTGACATATTAAGCTCAATATTTTATTAAATCACTCCATTATGCAATACCCTAACCCCAAGGCTCTTAGGATACTTAAAATAAATAAACAAAATGAAAAAAGTCGGTAGTTGGAAAGAAACTGGACGATTCTTGTCGTGAGAAGCCAAGTCTTTTGATATGTGGCGCCAAGTCTTCATAAATGGTGTTTTGCAAACAGAAGCCAGGCTCAGATGGCAAATGTAGCACAGGTTTAGTTATTGTCCACGAAAGAGCACGAGCTTGTTGAAGTATTGCCGGACGGGCACTCCCCTTTCCTCGGCACTTTGCTGCCGGCACATGTGGTGAATCCTCAGCTGAAAGTAGTGTGCCAGCATCTTCTTGAGCATGACAGAGAAGTGAGATTGATTGTCAATTGTTTGTGCAACAAACAGGTGGTCGAACCTCTTGAAGGATGGTGACAAGGAGACAATACTCAATGTCTCGGTTTGCAGCCTGAGAAGCCAGTTCCGCCCTCCCTTGGCCACTGTGTCGAAGTTTCTGCGAAGCACCTTCTCGGCAGTGGTGCAGAGATGCAGAATGTCTGGGGATGGACTGTGGAGACCGCCCTTGTCCTTGACACGCACCAGGTCACATTTGTCAGTGGTGAGAAGTGCAATCCTTGCACAGTCCGGGCATTTTGCGTCTTTTGCAAAGTGAACGGCCACATTGCCCGCAATGTATTGTACAATGCTCTCGGCAAACTCCGAGAGAGGCTTGTATCCTATAACCCAGGTGGCGTCGGCGTCGTCCTGGCTTGTGTCAGCTGTCGGGTCTTGCTGGCGCTTGTCCGACGAGCTCAAAAGGAGCGTCTCCGTGCCGTCGACCTGACAGTTGCCACGGCTCGAGGGCAGCACATTCGCAATGAGGCACTTCCTGTACGCCGAGCGAAATTCGAGGGCCGTAGGATTGTTGTTGTTGCCCGTTCTGTTCCTGATTGTTGCAAAGAACAATTCGAGGTGGTCTTGACTTAGCTTGCGTGTCAGCAGGCACTTGAGCAAAGGACTGCTGCTCCAAACGAGGTCTTCAGCCAGACCCTTGATGGACTGGAGGGCCAACAGAAATCCAACAATGGCGGTCTTTCTTGGACCTTGGATCAGGGGTCTGCCCGTGGTATCCTTTAGGCCTCTGAGATAGCGCGAGGCTTTGTCAATCCTTGTCAAGATTGTCTCCTTGTTGTTGACGCGAATGGGGGCCTTGCTGCCAAGAGCGAGAGGGTGGCAGGAATTGGTGAGGTCAAACGTGTCGTCCACTACTGCTGCAAACTCGGCAGTGGCCTCCACACCCTCAAAGCCGGGGATCTGCTTTTCCTTGCAGAACAACAAGGCGCAGCTGACGGAGCGGCTTAACGTCTGTGCCGCCAACGACACCTTCATCTTCTGTTGGTGGAAATCGATGTGCCGTCTCCGAAGTTTGTTCCCGGCGTGTAGGCCTTCCTTTTGTTGTAGGCGATCCAAACACATTATGTAATGCCAGGCAACAGTCCTACCCGCACCATCCCTGATGAGCTCCTTTTCAGCCAGCAGGTTTCGCATGAGCTTCAACATGTGGCATGCGTCTAAGATTGCATACACCCTTCTTGACGGGTCGGAGGGGTGAGGGAACCAGCTCTTCATTCTTGGTTCCGCCAGGCTTACGCCAAGCGCTGAGAGCATGGATAGATTGCAGCTTGTGCCGTCGCACGTCACAGAGATGCAGTCGGCACCAGCCTCCTTCAATTTTATCAGGTATTGCTGGACCAAATTGGACCGAACAGTGCCGTCGAGTCCATCAATCAGGGCATATCCCAGAGGTAGCTTCCAGTTGCGGTTGACGGCAACTGCCAGGAAAACAAGCGCGTGCTTCGCATATGCAATGCAGTCGTCTTTGAGGATGCCATGGCCCAGGTCGCAGTAGCCTACAACTTCCTTGCCGTCCCAGTCCGCTTGTTTCTTTATACTAATCTCATCTACCATAAGGCTGATGAGGAGAGGTCCTTTCTGAGCTTCGTGGGAAACTTTTTCGAAGCACTCCTTTGTGAAGCCCGGCTTCGCACCAATCACGGCTGCCCATTTCCGAAGTGCGCTGGGGTGAGGCAGTTTCACATGTTTGCGCAGAAATTTGTAAGCTTTGGCCGAATAGAAATGCAGTGTCAAGGCAAACTTGCGCACATCTTCCGAGTAGCTGTTGTTTGCCTTTCCTGTTTTTTTCAGCACAATGTCTCGCAGTGTGCCACTGAAGATGTTGTCCAGGATGGCTACCGCTGGTTGAGGTAGCTGTGCCCTGAGTTTCTTCAGCAGCGCATTGAGTTTTTTTATCTTCATTCCCTTCCGGTTCGCCTTTCTTTTTGCTTGTCTTAGGATCTTCTTGGCTTTTCGCAGCTTGCGCTTGCTGGCAGCTAGGAGCATCCTGTCCCGTCGTGGAGACACAACTGTGTAGCTGTGGTCGCCAGAGCAGGTGGCCGGCCGTGAGGATGGAGCTTCGGGGCTGCTTGACGCTGCTTGAGAATCTGCTGTGGATGGGGCGTGTGGAGAGGGAAAGTCAGTCTGGCGGGACCGTTGAGATCGGACCACTTGGGAGGTGGAGGGAAAGTCAGTTCGGGGGTGTTGTTGAGGTCTGTCCGTTTGAGGGGTGAACAGTGTGGGCACTGCTCCTTGTTTGAGGTTAGTCTTGCCAACAAGCCTGTGGAAGCAGTCATTTTCGAAGTGCTCTGAACACAGCTTGGAGAACTTGGTGGGAGTCCAGTGTATGCATTCCATTTTCTGCAGCCATGCCTGGAGGAGTTCTGGATGTCTCAGTGGAAATCTGCGGGAGACAACGAGGTCGGACTGTCAAAACACCGAAACAATGCTGTCTTTCAATAAAGCAAATACATATTTGTGCATTTCTAATTATTGTTTGTGTGCATTTTATTATAGAAAAATATGCTTATTCTAAACTACCCCTTCTGCCTCATTTATATGCCACTAATATTTGAAGTTTCTGAAACATTTGTTGCAAGTATGACGAGCAGGTAATTTGAAATGTTTCAAACCCAATTTGGAGTAGTTTAGATAATGTGCTTCAACCACAGAGCAACTTTCAAATATGTGCGGTTGTCCTACATAAATGTGCCCAAAACTGCAAGTTTAGATCCAATGATTGCGCTTGCTTGCCTATCGCATATTTAACTATTATAATGATGCGACTTAATTATGCCGAAATGCGGGCTAAGGTTCGTAAAGATCGCAACGCAGTTGGAAAAAGTTGACCGCAGTAATTTGAGAGTTAGTGGAAAGCTTACCCGTGGAACGTTATTGCCGAGTCCTTCTTGTACCTGTTAGTACAGTTAGGAGCCGCGCACGAATGCGGCATAGCTTTTAGAGTTCAAATCAAGTTAGAAATAAAATGGCAAAGGAATCGGACACGACGAGCTGACAGCCTCTGAACCACAGGAATATGCGCAGTCGTCTGCTATCTTTTGGCCGCAAATTCAAACGAAGCTTGATTGAAGTCAATGTTGTAGATTACTTTATTACATCAGTTATAAGCACTAAAAAACTGTGCCACTTTGTCAACATTGCAGTTATAACCAAAATCACACAAAAAATTGCGCGCCAAAATTGTCGTCTGCTACTTTTTGCGCGCCCTAGCTGCTGCTGTTCAATTCCATGAAATGCCCAAACCGGCATCTTCCAGCGATAATACGAAATCGGCATACACATATCAAGCAACAAATAGGAATTTCCGTTCTCAGTAGCATGTTCGCCTTCGCTCGTTCAGCCCGACGGCTGAACGAGCGAAGGCGCGAGGAGAAAAGAAAAAGAGCGAACGAAGAGGAGAACGAAAGTAATAGATGGAGAGGGTGGTAAGGGAGTCCGTACGCTATCTTCAGTCGATACACGTTCCCATAGATGGCGCAAGTTGTTCTTTACGGCGCGCGCGCGCTCCGCTTGCCCCCCCCCCCCCCCCCCCACCCCCACCCCCACCCCTTTTTTTTTTCGTTTCTCTTCCCGCTCCAACATGCACTGGAGCATTGATTTAGCTTGGTTGCTTATCACAGCAAGACAGCTTCATATAGCTGCTTCTGCCGTGAGGCGGAGACAAGGATGAACGCATGTACATTTCATTCATGATTTATTATTTTCACACATTTGTACAAAAAATCTAGAACAGTAATTCACATATATGTAAACACAACAATATGCAGGAAGATATAGTGGACAATGCAAAACACGAGAGATAAAAATATATTTGCAAAACCCTATCAGCACGAAATACAATCAAAGATACTCTAAATACCTGAAAAAAAAAGGGCTTTTCTATTTATTATGTGCATCATGCATGCACCTCACAACTTTTGTGCCTTCCTCAACAAGTGCACATTAACGATCGAAACTTGCCTGGTGGTACTAAAAGCTGGAGTCGGGGATCCGATTCACAAACCGAAGGCACGGCATCACATTTCAGGCGATTTTTCTTTTTTGGGTCTGCATTTGAAAATGCAGGCCTTGCAAAGTGATCCGCGCAGAGAAACCGCTTTTTCTGTGCATGGTCAGGCGCTAAGTTAGCATAGGAGGCCCACTTCTTGTACCTGATATAGCAAAATCTCTTAGTATATCTCTTGATATCCGAACGCAAAAGGAGGCAAGGGACACACAAAAACACGCCAGACACGGACAGCGGAACGCTGTCCGTGTCTTGGTATGTGGAGTGCGCACGTGCTCTACGGCGTGCGCTGGTTCGCCGATTTTATAAAGTAGCTTAGTGAAAAGGATCTTTAGGACGCCGTCTGACAGGGATATTACTCACATCTTGCGCCGCTGAAAGACCAAAGCGCGGAAGTTCCATTCCCGGATAGAGTTGGAGCAAATAGAACCGAAACCAATGAAACGAAACCAAACCTACCTCTCGCTTTGGAAATCCTTCGGGAATAGGAAGAACGCCAAGTTTAGATTTGTTGGAGTTCCCGCACCATTTCGCAGCACAGTACCGTCAAGGCATCCCCTTGAGAGAACACACGAGTGTTCAAGCTCAAGTTTATGCTCTACGTACGCCGATCCAAGCAAACCACCTTCCGCAGAACGCTAGGAGAAATCGAACTCGGAAACGCGCAAGCGTTCACGCGCGCCCGGCGCACCGATGACCGTTGATAACCGCGCGCGGAGCCGCCGAGCCGCCGAGCGATATTAGCGCCAGTTGTAAACACGGCGGTGGAAGCGCGAAAACGCTAAATGGGTGATTATCATATTGACGTCACCGTGACGTAACTTTTGAAGAGCGCCCTCGACGAGCTTTCAATGAACGCCGCTTGCTTCGGGAGCCTGCTCGCGCTCGGCTCGGCTACTACAGTGGCTCCCATTCAGGCGGCCGTGTCGCCGTGTTCCAAAATTTACTCTATCTCACTCTTGGGAAAAGGTCTTGTACCCGTTGCGTTCAAAAACCTACCCGCGTCAACCTGTCTTGTCACGTGACTTGATTCGCCGGAATAACTCGGGTCTATTTGAGTAAGATTGGAACACATCCCCAGAGAGCCCATCTGCTGACCGTGATCTGGCCAATCTGATCTGACCCACCTCTGGGCGCAGCCATCTTTAAGTCACGTGATCACTAATGTGGCAAACAGGCAAGATGGCGGCAATCGGGGGGGTGCCATTTTCGGCTGCTGGTTTACCGCTCTAAGTTTACTCAAGCTCGTTGGAGTGAACGGTTTTTCAATCTAGACGCATCCACGCTAGAAACTTCGTTTGATGTTAGTCGCCATATTGTATTGCTCATGAAAACATTCTGAAATTGATCTGAAGCCATATTTTTTGGATTATCGAAGCAGGAACTCTGCCTTATTAACGAGTAGAGAGGAACTACAAGTGGGGTCTTCAGAGAGAGGGCTT